TATATATATACAGTTAACTTCAGTGGGCAATAATGCACAAGGAGGACCAAACAACGCGGAGCTTGATTTTGAGTTATTAGGCCACAATGGGCCTCCTTACACACTAAGTACTAATGTCTTTGCTCAAGATTCTGGAAATAGGGAGAAACAATTCCAGCTTTGGTTTGATCCAACCTTGGATTTTCATGACTATAGGCTTCTTTGGAATCCCAAGCAAATAGTGTAATTAATTAATTAATCTCATATGTATCTTATACTTAATATTGTTCATAATATATGTGCATATTCTTACTCATTCGATTTTCTCGTGTATAGCTTTTTCGTAGATCAAATACCCATTCGAGTCTTCAAGAATAACGAGAGGTTTGGGGTGAAATACCCGAAGCTTCCAATGTACTTACGCGCAAGCCTATGGAACGGGACCCAGTGGCTCGGGCCAGTTGACTGGAGTCAGGGTCCGTTTTTTGCTAATTACCGTCAATTTGAGATTATTGGATGCCCTTACGACAATTCGAAACCTCAAGATCAATGCATGTCGTCTAATTACCCTTGGAACGCACCTGATAAGTGGCAGCTTGATCCGAGACAACAAAAGTTGTACGAGGATTATACGATGAGATACAAAACTTACGACTATTGCATGTCCAAATATGTGGCAGACTTCCCAGAGTGCATGATTTCATCATGAATATATAATAATAAGATGTGGGTTTAAATTAATTTCCATGTATTTTATATGTTTAATGATGTGAAAATGGAAATCGTATAATAAAGTGGTGTTACTTAGTTGAACTCTTGCATAATGGTTGTATAACACTGTCTATGAGACTATGAGCTCATTATAGTTTGTAAAAGGATAAATTGTATTCCAGTACCAAATTTGAGATTTGTGGAACTAATAAGTGGAAAGGATTGAATGTCTAAATTATATATCAATCTCTGAGCTTTGAGGGGTTGGTTTTAACAAAAGAGCACCTATGTTATTGTACCTCAGAGTGCGTTTACAAAGAACTTTGGAGCTATAAAAGTCGAATTTTCTAATTGTACGCTACATCTAGGGGTGAGCAATAATCGGTTAAAACCGAATTAACCGATCGAACCGAACCGAATAACATTATTCGGTTCGGTTTTTATGTTATATAATTCGGTTCGGTTTTTATTTTAAAAGATTTCGGTTTATTCGGTTCGGTTCGGTTGTCAAAAATAAAAATTCGGTTAAACCGAACCGAACCGAATTAATTAAGTAATTAATAAATTTTAATAGAAATTAGAAGTTAGGAGTGTAGGCCCAATAGACAAAAGATCAGATCCATATTTAAAAGCCCAATTGATATATCATGCGTATAACAAATCATGTGGGTATGATTTTAATAAATAAAAAACAAACATTATTTTATCTAAAAACCTAATCAATAATCACATTTCACAATATCAGATCTCACTTTCTATCTGGCGTCCTCTTTCACTCCCTCGTTCACAGATCTCAGCCGCCATCAGCTTCCTTTGGACCTTTGCATCATCACTCATCGGGTTGGTTCAGGTAATGTCAATCTTCTCTCAAATCTTCTCCCTTTGCCTCTCTATCTCTCTCTCGCGGCTCTTGATTTCTCTCGAATCTCTAGATCAATCTCGAAAAATATTCAGCCCAATAATTTGGGGATTTTCAACTCAAAGCATTTCTTAAATTTAATCCTAAATCAGTTGATATTTTTTTTTTTTTTTGTCAAAATGTTCGAGACTTGAGTTAGGATAAGTAGTTTATTTGTTTTTTTTTTCTGTTTTTATGTTGTTGATTGTTGAATGTTGAGTGATAAAATTTGTTTTTCTTGTATACATACAGAAAAATCAAGAATGGAGCCATTAGACGGGCATATGGAAAACACCTCTGAAGCCTCAAATGCCAATATACAACATGAGGCTGAGGGTGCTGATGTAGCTTCAAACAAGAGTGGTGCTGAAAAAGGAACAAAAAGAAAACGCATGAAACCAAGATCAGTTGTTTGGTCGTACTTCACGCAGAATGAGGATGAGAATGGCAATTTAATTTCAGCTAAGTGCAATGCCTGTGAAAAAGTTTATTCTTGTCATTCGAAAAGAAATGGGACTTCGTCTTTAAAACAACACATGGCTGCATGTAAAGGGAACTTGGAGTCTGAACCTGGACAAACCCTGTTAAATTTGCAACCATGTAATGATAATGATGGTAAGAATACACTTGCTGCTTGGAAATTTGATCAAGATGAAATTCGAAAAGCTGTTGCAAACATGGTCATTGTTGATGAATTGCCATTTAAGTTTGTAGAAGGGGAAGGATTTCGTCGAGTCATGTCTAAAGCTTGCCCTAGGTTTAAAATTTCATCAAGATGGACTATGTCGAGGGATTGTTTTCAATTGTATGCTGATGAGAGGGTGAAGTTGAAGCATTTTATGAAAAATAATTGCCAAAGAGTCAGTCTGACAACTGATACGTGGACTTCTGTTCAGAAAATTAACTATATGTGCATCACAGCTCATTTCATTGATAATGACTGGAACTTACATAAAAAAATCCTGAATTTTGTGCCTGTTACTAGCCATAGAGGTGAATACATTGGAAAGGCGATAGAAGCTTGTGTTCTTGATTGGGGATTAAAGAATATTTTCACAATCACTGTAGATAATGCAAGTTCAAATGATGTAGCTATTGCCTTCTTAAAAAGGAGAATGTCGAACTGGGGTGGTAGTGTGGCTAATTGCAAATTCCTTCATATGAGGTGCATTGCACATATAATTAATTTAGTTGTTACCGAAGGCCTAAAAGATATCAAACCTTCAGTGAAGCGAGTGAGAGAAGCAGTAAGATATATTAGAAATTCGCCTGCTAGACTTAAAAAGTTCAAAGATTGTGTTGATTGGGAAGGTATCGAGAGTAAGAGCTTTTTATGTCTAGATGTGGCTACAAGGTGGAATTCTACATATCTTATGTTAAAAACGGCTGCACAGTTTGAAAAAGCATTTGATAGATTTGAAGAGCAAGAACCTTATTTTGCAACTGATTTAGCAAAACATGGAGTCCCAACATCTTTTGATTGGTCTGCTGTGAAAAAAATTTCAGACTTACTTAAACATTTTTATGAGATGACATTGCGCATTTCGGGTTCATTATATGTCACTTCTCATACTTTTTTCAATGAAATTAGCAATTTGTGTTGCATTTTGAATGAATGGAAAGGAAGTGATGATTATGAAATCAAAGACTTGGGCACATCGATGAAATCAAAATTTGATAAATATTGGGGGGATTCAGAAAGCATGAACAGAATAATCTTTTGGGCAACTGTATTTGATCCTCGTGATAAATTTGAGTTCATGGAGTACTCTCTTAGCGAGATGTACGGGGCTGAACAGGGTGTTGCATTGTTTGAAAGTGTAAAAAATGGACTCTTTGAGTTGTTCACAGAATATGAAAGAAAATACCAACCAAATGTTGAAGATGATAATCGAGGGAGCTCTAGTTCTGTTTCTCATGTGATTGATGATTTCAATTCTGAAAAAGTCATGAAGAAGCCAGTGAATAGACTGAAAGCTCGATATAAGAAACAGAAATTAGAGAGTGGAAGTGGCAGAATAAAAAAAAATGAGCTACAAGTTTACTTGGACGAGGAGGTCTTAGAGGATTGTGAGGATCTTGATGTGTTGAAGTGGTGGAAAATTAATTCAGGAAGATTTCCCATTCTTTCGCGATTGGCACGTGATATTTTAGGAGTCCCAATCTCAACCGTGGCTTCAGAATCTGCATTTAGTACCGGTGGAAGGGTTCTTAATGTGTTTAGGAGTTCATTAACTCCAAAGATTGTTGAAGCTTTGATATGTGCACAAGATTGGCTTCGAGGTTCAAATAAGCCTTTAAGCGTCGAAGAAATACAGGATGAGGTTGAAACCTTTGAAAAAGGTAATCATTTTATTTATTTACTTATTTTTTTAATCTTGAATTTCGATATCGTAATATACTTCTTGCATTTTGTTTTATGTTGTAGAGTTACCAAATGTGGGTATCGGGCCATCAATAAACACAGGAGACTAAGTTTGCTGCTGTTGCTGCCTGTTGTTATGTGATGTGATGCTGTCCAGTGTCTGTTATGCTGCTGCTGCTGTTTTTTGTTCGCTTGCTTTGATGATTTGCTGCTCTTTTGTTCTTTTCATTGCGGTTTTGCTGTTTTTATGGAATGCTATTGGGATTCAGCTGCATCTTTTTGTTTTTTTTTTTCATTGCTTATTAAACGTATGATTTTTGTGGAATGTGGACCTGTGTCATGGAATTGAGTTTTGCCTGGTGGTGATGACTGATGATATGAATGATATTTTGGAATGTAATCAATTATCAATGTATGTGTACCACTTTTATGGTTATTGGTTAGTGGTTACTGTTATTTGCTTTGTAGAGTACTAAAATGAGCTTACTTTTGGAATGTTGATTTGAGCAGGTCATTCTGTGTAGTTTCTGTTATTTGTTAAACATTTGCAAAATGAGATTGTTATTAATAGCTTAATGCAGTGGCCAAACCGATTTGCAAAACCGAACCGAACCGAATAATTTCGGTTCGGTTGTAGTTCGGTTTTTAATGCCTATTCGGTTCGGTTCGGTTTGCTATGCTATTACAATTTCGGTTTTCGGTTTTTTCGGTTCGGTTCGGTTTTTGGACCGAACCGACCGATGCTCACCCCTAGCTACATCTTTGTATTTAGTTTCGCTATATGAAACGTAAACCAAAATCAGTGTTGAGAAGCCAGATAATAACGTGGGATTTTTTTTTTTTTTGTTGATCCTGATGTGATAGGTTCTTATATTTTTCATCTTTCTACAGTGAATCGCTTCTCTTATTGGCTTCGTTTCGTTTTAGGCGATTTGTACAGAATTTTCGTTACACGGGGCCAAAATCTTGAAGAGAGAAAAGATCAGAGTTCATTGTGGAACTTAATCTTTGCTTGGCCTTCATACCTGTGTTACAATAATGTTCCCAACTCACAACACCTTCAAATGGATTTGGGATTTCTAGCTTTGTTGGGATTCATTTCTGTTGTTTGAAACAATTGTGAAAAAAAAATTGTCGTTCATATTCTCCTTTACAAGTAAATTTTGTTGGGAGAGCCACATTCAATGCCTTTGAAAGGCTTGTGAAATTTCATCTTAATCGAAGAAAAAAGAGCTAAGAATATCAGAACAATCGCCATTTTCATTTCAGAGGGAATTTTTGTACTTACAGAACCCTGAGCTCACTCATTATTTATATGTACATACAGGACAAAACGACCACGTTTCATCACTTAAAAGGGTTAGCCCCAAAACTACGTCGCTCAGACTTAAAAGAAAAAACACCAAACAAAAACATAAAAGTTGCTAACACGATTTTGATAAATCCCAATCGAACATAACAGAACTTCTTCATCACTTCAAGTTCTCTTATTTTCTTCAGTAAGTTGATCAGGCATGTAATATTCCAACACCCCCCCGTCAAGAGGAGCGTGGTTGATGCAGGCTCATCTTGGACAGAAGCAAATGTGCTTGAGAAGCAGGTAAAGTCTTGGTAAAGATATCAGCCAGTTGCAATTTTGAGGTAAGATGCATAGGTTCCACAAAGCCTTCTTTGTATTTGTCTCTGATGAAGTGACAATCAATTTCAAGGTGTTTAGTGCGTTCATGGAAGACAG